GGGTTTAGGGTTTAGGGTGCCCCTGGTTCAGGGCTTGGGGGTTTGACTAGCGTTTTGGGGTTTAGGGGTGTTCAAACTTCGGTCGTTGGAACTTTGCGATCTTATGAGGGTTTCGGCTTCAGGCATATGCAGGCCGAAAGAACTGAACTAGTGGGGAGACTGTAGCTCTGCATGACACAGATGAAAACCAAGCGACCGATCCATGGTAAAAAGGGATTCTCTGGTACGGTGGTCGGAATATAGTGGCCTTGATTGGCTTCTGTGAAACAAACGGTTCTCCAATTTGGGCTTGCCGTGGTGGGGTCCTTGTTTTCAAGCGCTGTACATCTCGGTGCTTTCCAAGGAGGCCGTGACTTAGAGAAGCACCCTTGTGGTATGTTCTGCTCTGCTGGGCTCAGCATGGCCATGCCAAAAACACGATCTGTTGTGACGAGGCATCCATGTGCGTCGAAGTCATGGACCATGTTGACTTGCACGGTGTGGCCATCACTGTTGCTGACAGCGGCTTCGGCTATGACGTTACAAGCAGATATACCAGGCCGTCATGAAGAGGGCCAAAGATCCCGATGTCGATGATTTAGTCTGGAGAGGATGTTACGACGAAGGACGGATGCAGGAATCAGACTAGTGCCAAAGCTTGGTGGACTCTAAAGTCTTCGACCTTGCCTGCCCTGAGACTACCTTGCATTCAGGGCTTATTGGAGCCCAAAAGGAAAAGTTTGGTATTTCAGAACTAGGTCACCCGGTGAAGCCCTGATCTAAAAGTACCTTTCTGTCAAATCTTGCACCCAGGCTCTCAGTCCCGCTGTTTCCGCCATGACCTGCAGGGATAGGGGGGTTCGGGACGCTGGGGCTCCATATGCAACAGAGTATAGGTACGATTGATAAACTGCAATCTAGGAAGGATTTGCGTACTTTGTCTTGCAAAGCCGACACGCCTGGGCGGGCAATCCCTATGCCCGAGTTTAGGTTGTGAACTACACCACTCGGAGGTTCAGGTCGTAGGGTCTTGGGTTGTTTGACAATCCTCATCTTAAGTTCAGGGCATGGGGCTTCCCTGCCGTCTCTTCGGCCGCCCTGAGGCTCAAAAACCCTCGAGCCCACCCAAGCCCTGAAAACTTGAGGGTTTAGGACTTCAGATGTAATCCGTCGGCGCCACAAAACCGAAACTCGTCCACTCTACCCTACCTGCACTGGAATATACTAGAATCGCAAGCCCGGAGACACAGAGACACAGACTGTTGCTGGGTCTCTTGTTCTTGAGAAGGAATTTGCGCGTCGATTCTGCACAGGGTTTCGCTATGTAATCCACCAAGTTCCCCCGAAAAAACCCGAGCAAGAAGCCCAAACCCCCGAACACTAACCCCCAAGACCCTAAAAACTTAAACACTAAACCTCTCAACCTCAGTAGATCCGAAACCTCGAGCCCTATTAGTACCCTAAACAATAGGATCCTTNNCCCCAATTTTCGGAAACCCCCATACCTCGGTGGCTCCATGGAGGCTGCAGAGGAAGGCCCAGAAGAGCGCGCCGGACATGGCGACGAGGGTGCGGGGGAGTGCAGGAAAGGGCCGGGCAAAGAGGGCTCGAGACAAAAGGCAACATGGCGGAAGCTTGGGTGTTGGTTGTCAGGGTACAGGAAACTCGGTCGAAACATTGAGAAAGAAGTTTAAGGTTTCTCGAGTTGGGGCTAGGTTGATAGGTTGAAGAGCTCGAAGTTGCGAGCGTCCTCCAGAATCTGAGGGGTGACTGGGGCGCAGCGGCCCACAACAATCCATGTGGACAAAGGCGGAATGCTGTAGGCTAGAGCCATCTCCAGTCGTTTCCATGGTTGTCGGTTGGTTTAGGATTTAGGATTTAGG